TCCTTATTATTCTTTCAGTGTCTACAGTGTCTTTGTTTCAAATTGGTCAATTGAATTTTATCTCTCTTGATTTGATTAGTATAACTAATAGTTTACCATTGGTATTGACCTTTCTGTCTTTTTTTTTTTTGAGTTGGAGTCTCATTCTATCACCCAGGTTGGAGTGCAGTGGCATACTCACGACCAGCCCAGTGTCGACTTGCTGAGCTCCGGTGATCCTCCCACCTCAGTCTTCCAAGTAGCTGGAACTACCAAGCAGCTACCATGCCCGGCTAATTTATTTACTTTTTATAGAGAAAAGGTCTCACCATGTTGCCCAGGCTGGTCTCAAACCCGTGGGCTCAGGCAACACTCTTATCTCGGCCTCCCAAAGTGCTAGGATTACAGGTCTGAGCCACCGAGCCTGGCAGGTATTCATCTTCCTAAAAACCACTTTTAGTTTCAAATATTTTCTCTATTTTTTTCTTATTCCAATTTCATTGGTTTCCAGTACTCTTAAGATGGCCTGAATGACAATAAAAGTTAGAAGGAAAACCTAGATGGCAATGATTCTGAGTCAAGCAATGATTCTGCATATTCAGGCTCTGAGTTTAAAGAGGCTTTTAGGAATACCTTTTTTATATTGCTTATATTTTCCTTTTAAAAGATTTACACGTGTAATCATGCTATAAATCTGCATCTGGAATAATCCATAAGAGCCTTTTCAACATATGGAAGTTGATCCTAAGTGATATGAAAGCACTGTGTCATATGTTAATAGCCCTGCTTTTCCAGTGGCTATAAAACAATGGAGTGTTTTGCAGTAGATAATACAGTGAGTCTTCACCTAACATCATCAACAGGCTCTTGGAAACTGCCATTAAGTGAAACAGCGTATGGCCAAAACTATCTTTTTTTCTCATCAGCAGCATAACAAGATGTTGAAGAAAAGGACATTTTTCAAGGAGCTGCTACACACCATTTTGCTTGACATTTCCAAGCACCCATGGGTGATGTCCATGAGGACCTGCACTTTAGGGCGGATGAGAAATGCTGAGTCTTTAAAGAAGCTCACCGCAGCACATAGGGAGGCCAGAGGCCACAGATCAATCTGGACCAAGCGGCCTCCAGCTCAGGTCACAATTAGTGTGCAGGTGGCTGAATGTTCAGCCTGAGGGTGACAGGCAGACGCGGACAGGGGGCCTGGAGAGTGGCAGGCGCTCCTTGCAGAGGGGATCTGGGGAGGTGTGAGATGCAGGTTTGGAGAGGGAAGCTGGGGCTGGCCAGCAGAGCATTAAATGCTCAGTTAAGAATTTAGCACTGGCCGGGCGTGGTGGCTCAAGCCTGTCATCCCAGCACTTTGGGAGGCTGAGGCAAGAGGACTGGCTGAGTCCAGGGGTTCGAGACCAGCCCAGACAACCTGGCGAAACCTCATCTCCGCAATAAATCAAAAAATTAGCTGCCTATGGTTCCAGCTACTGGGAGGGCTGAAGCAGAAGGATCGCCTGAGCCAGCAGGTCAAGGCTGCGGTGGCTGTGACTGTGCCACTACACTCTATCCTGGGTGACAGAGTGAGAGTCTGACTCAGAAAAAAAAAAGAACTTCTCACTGCATTCTGCAGGTGACAGTAAACAGTAAATTTCAATGGAAAGCAGTAGTTTCAGATGCATTCACCCAAAGGAAACTGAAGGAGAGGAAGACTAGAAAAAGAAATTGCAAGAGAGCTTCCAAGGGAGAATCAGACAGAACTGATCATTAAACAAGGGAGAAAGATGGGAGGAAACTGACTCCAAGATTTAGAGTTTGGGTGGCACATAAGAATTCAGGGATAGAGCTGTCTCTGACCAGGGAAGGCACCCGACAGGAAGGCGTCGTGAGACAGGACTGGGACCTCGGCAGCTGGCCGAGCGCTTCCAAGAGAGGCGTCCACCCAGGCCTGGACCTCAAGAGGAAATCCAGAGCTGACGGCAGAGATGTATGGCACATGTGTCTGGAAGTGTTTCTTGAAGCCACAAGATGGCCGGCAAGGAGGGGACGCAATAAAAACGAGACAATCCACATCAGCCACCACCTCTGAGCCCGTCCCCGTGCTAGAAGCATGCCAAGGGCTTTTCACACATTCACTTATTCTGTTCTCAGGCCCACGAAGGAGGCACCACAACAGTGACCACGTTACAGACAGAGAGACTCCGAGACAAAGAACTGGAGGCGTGTGCACAAGGTCACGTGACTGGGCAGGTATAGAGCCCAGACAGAAATCCGGCTCGTGGGTCTGCAAGCCTGCCGCACAGGGCTGCCCCTGCCCAGAGCCAAGGGGTTCAAAAGGAGTGATGCATGTGGGGGGGACACCAACTCAGAGAAAGAGACAGAAAGGGGGCCGTCTGAGGTGCAGGTGGCACAGATGTGCTCTGGAGTGAGGACGATGAACTTGCACCATGCCAGATGGTCCCTGGGAGTATGGGAGCCAGCACCACGGATTCGTTTCGTGGCTTCTATTTAAACCGTTCTCCACCACCAAGTCGTCTACATTCTCCATTCTGAAAACTTCTGGATGAGTGGGATCACTTAAAAAAAATAAGCAGACTTGTGTTCATAGATGCTAGTTGCAAGTGGCTCTGAAGCTACACACAGAACCTCAGAACACGGGTCCTCAAAGTGGCCCCTGGACCGGCAGCGTCAGCCCGCCCTGGGAGTCTGCGGGAAACCCACATCCCCACTCGTGCCGCAGACTGGCTGCGTCAGAAGCCTTGGGGGCGGACTCAGCAGCCCACGGGCAGCAGAATCCCAGGTCATTCTGAGGCCGCCACTTGGGTTCGAGAACCACTGCTCTAGAAAGCAAGATGGCCCAGGCAAACTCTGGGGCCCTGTCCCACGTCGGAGAGCCCACGGGACACGGGACATCCCCATGGGCCCCTGGAGCAAGGCTGACAGACGCTCAGAGGAATTTGCGATGGGCGAGGGGTCCGCTCCTTCGAGAGTGATGGGATAAGGAAGGGACAGAGGTCTTCTGTGCCTTGTCATCATCTGGAGACAAGGAGCAGGACACCTCGGGGGCTGCCTGGAGCTTCCCACCCCGCCTCTCCACTCCACCCACCTTCCCATGGTGTCTGCCCTCTCACTACCAAGCCGCCTTCCCCCCACCCCCTCTCCCCACCCCATTCTACTCACCTCTCCCCACCCCAACACACCCACCCAACCCATCCACTTCTCCTCACCCACCCATCTCTCCCCACCCCAGCACACTCCACCCTGCCTCTGTGGAACGGCCCTCCTCTGGGAAGTCTCCCAGGCCTGTAGACCCCTCTTCTGTGTTTCTGGGAGTTTTACAGGCACGCCCCATCACCGTGTGAACCCGGCCTCTTTCCTGGCTACGGTCTAAGGGCCTCGGACATTCTTGCCACAGATACCAACGAAGGAGACACAAGGGGAAGGCGTCATTCTAGCTGGTGTTAAAACTGGAGTGACAACCTGGCAGTAAGTGTAAGGATTCAGCCTGCTCTATTCCCACGGCGGGATACACACGCACTCTGGCAAGCTGGTGTTTGCAGAAAGAAGTCTAAACTGAGAAGACACAAGCCCCTCCCTGCCAGGCCTCACCCTGGAGGTTCAGGGCTGTGAAAGGCTTGGCATGCGGCAGGTTCAGAACAGGCACATCAGAAGGAGCCTCTAGGGCCACAGCCTCAAAGCCAGTCATTCTGCCCAGATGCACAGGGTGGGAAGGGGTAATTCACAGGGGCGTACTTCTTTCTTCTTCCTATTTTTTTAAGTTGGCGTCTCTGTTGCCCAAGCTGGAGGCAGTGGCACGCTCACAGCCACCGCAGCCTCGACCTGCTGGGTTCAGGTGACTCTTCAGCCTCAGCCTCCCAAGTAGTTGGAACTACAGGCACGCACCACCACACCCGGCTAGTTTTTGTGACTTACTGTAGAGTCGAGGTCTCACCAAGTTGCCCAGGCGGGTCTCGAACCCATAGGCTCAGGCAATCCTCTCACCTCGGCCTCCCAAAGTGCTGGGACTATAGGTGTGAGCTACTGCGCCCGGCCCTGGGAATGCTCCTGTCTAAAGCTGAGATTCCCTCCACCTCGGAGACTCTATTAAAATAGATGTGCTCCTTTCCCTGGCACATTGAACTTAAGTCAACATTAGAGGCGATTGCTTTGTAGTGACAAGGGAATTTTGGAATATGATCATCAGGTACCGTCAGGCACCGCATCAGGACATTTCGGTCAACAGGAGACTGAATAAGCAACCGTGGTCCTATAAGAGTATAATGCCGTATTCTCACGGTCCTTTTCTATGTTTGGAGGTGACAGACACACAGATCCTTTCCTCTGTGTTACTGTCACCTGCAGAGTCCGTAGTTTGTACCCTAGGAGATATCTGTAGCCTAGGAGCAACAGACCACACCACACAGCCCAGGTGTGTCGCAGGCTAGGTCCTCTAGGTCCGTGCAAGTGCACTCTCTGATGCTGGCGCAACTATGAACCCCCTAATGACACATTTCTCAAGATGCTTCCCCAATGCATGACTGACGTCTGCTTTATTCCCTTGACGGGCTCAGGCCACACGCAGAGCTTCAGAACACACTTGCTGCCTCCAGGGATATCCAGAGGAATGAGAGTCCTCATCAGAGCCAAGAAAGCCGGTGAGCAAAAGTCAGCTCATTTTCTACCCCTGTGCCAGGCGCAAAAATGCATATCTTAGCATCAGGTACGTGACGGATTTCCAAATGCAGGACTCTTCAGAGTGACCTCCGGGTGCTTGCCGAGCGGGGGTGTCACCCTAACCCTCAAAGAAGGCCCTTCATTCCCATAAAGCAGCCACAGCAAATCCCGCTCACTTAGTGGGGGTCGTGCTAGCCACTCTTAAAGAGGAAATCGTGACTACGAGCCCTGAACAAAAGATACTCCAGATCCTGCTTCCCTGGGCTTTCCCATCATTCACCCGGGCAGATACAGTCAGCCCTTCACAGCACTTCCCGGACTGCTGAGGTGTCCCCAGGTTCCTGGGGCCCTGGCCTTACCTGCCCTGCCTCCTCAACGTCCCTCCTCCGCACCACACGTCTTCTCCCATGGGGCGAGGCCCTGAGGACAGGGAGTCCTCTCTAAACAACACAAATATCTCGTTAGCAAGCGCAGCCTATCTTGAAATCTCACACCATGCCTTGTTTCGCCCCCCGGATAATCTTGGGATTAACCATCCGTGCAACACAGAAATGTCTGGGGGAGGCAGGGCCACGGCAGATGTCCGTGGTGGAGGAGGTCCCTCCCTGGGTCACCGCCCGCCGGCACCCCGGTAGGTCCCTCGCGTGGGGAGCCCAATGAGGACGCACAGCTTCAGGCAGGGGAGAGTACATGCAGCATGCACGAGGTGCTCGGGATGCCGTGGCACTGAAGGGCGGCATGGTGAGGTGTTTACCTTGGACTTTTTCTTCTGAGAGCATTTATAGAATGTCGGAAGCCTGACGTGGCCCGAGAGCCAAGCTCTGCTGAGCCTTCAGCATTGACTCTCAGAGGAGAAGACAGGCCGGACGGAGCTGCGAGGCTGCGCTGAGGCCTTGTCTGGCCTGCATTCCTCCGAGTTGAAGACGACACCCACTGGCCACAGGGCAGTCGAGAAGCCCACCTCCTCCACGTGTGCTGAGTTGCGGTTTGTGCCAAATCCAGACGTCTCCAGGCCTCGGCCCCTTGTTCAGAGCACCAAGCCTGGCTTGTTCTTTTGCTCAGACTCAGTCCTGTGCCTGCTGAGGGCTTAGCACTTCCACACCCCATGGTCACTCATCCGCCTTCCCACCAAAGCCCTCCCACCAAACGTTCAGCAGAAAAGAACCGACTGTCACAGCCTCAGTCCACACCCTCTCGGACGGCAGATCCGTGTGTTCATTTACACCCTGCACCTTGCCGCTTTAGTGATGTAACCTGGCCATGCACTGAACTTCAGAATACACATGCTGCCACCAGCAATCAGCATCCCTACAGACCCCAGCCAACACACTGAACAAGATCCCTTTCCTAAAAGAAAGATCTTTTCCTTTCACAGGTGTGATTGTGGTTTTCACACGAAGAGGATTTTAAGCATGCCCCTGAAGGGTTTTCCAATACCCCAGTTCTGAAACAGAGTCCTGTGTTTGTGTATACAAACAGTGAAGCCCAGCTGTCAGGGCTGTGCTGGGGACTGCAAACGTTTTAATTGAACAGACAGGTAGTTGGAGAAAGACGCTGAAACCTTGAAATCACCCATGTCTGTTCTAACTGCTTTCTTCTGCAGTGTTACGATCACTTCTGTTCATATGGGTTCTACTCCGGAGGCTCCCAAGAGTCACATCCTCCACAAAAAAAGACCAGAATGATTCACTTGTTCCCTCACCCCACCTTGCTGCCACCCCCCAGGGAGCAGAGCTTGGTCTGTGCCCCGTGAAGAAACCTCAGTCATTTGTGTATACATTTTGACCACAGGGAGGCTGTACAGAACAGGACAGCCCATGTTGCCAGCATATAGTGTTGTCATGCTTAATAGTTCAATAAGGAGGATTAGAATTTCATGAAATCATCCCCAAAATCCTAGTATCTAGGAAGGACATTAGATAGAAATGGTCAACAGTTCTCCCCAGTTGACTACCATTCCTTATAAAAATAGCCACCACACCAGAGAATGTGAACTATACAGTATAGTCTCCGTATTCTCCCAGGCTTGGACACCTGCCCACCTGGATGCACAGCTGTGTCTTTTTATGGGTCAGGTGAATAAATAACTCACTAAGAAAACACTCAAACTTTTCTTTGACGCGCTCTCAATCCAAGCACCATTCCTTTGTCTACAAAACACCATTTTCTACAAATATGTGGAATGGATTTCTTCCTTCACAGAGATGAGTTGTTGGTACATCTCCACAAAGGCACTTTGAAAAAACAAACAAACAAACCAGGAACTCTTTTGATGGTGGACTTCTTCAATACGGAAGATGAGGTATTGTTATGGTACTTACAACAGAATACAAATTATTTACTACAAATAACGACTCTCTAGGGTTCAGTAAGTGATTTGAATAAGGTCGATAGGAGGCATAGTCCAAGGTCACTGTTTAAATCAAGCAATCCCACAAGTGCCAAAACCACCTAAGTTCCTTGTCCCCAGAAGTGTTGCAGCTTCACAGACTCTGTCCTCACTGTCCAGCTCTCCTTCCGATGACTTAGACTGGGATTTTTCTAAAGATGCAAGCTCTACGAGACTGTAAGGTTGTAGAAAAACAGTTTTAAAATACTGGCTCTCGGGAAGCTTAGGCCCTAGCTGGTGGTGGAGAATACGTAAGACCCATTCAAAGTCACGGACACTGTAAAGAACTGCTCTGCTGACTGCGTGACCTGCATCCACAGAAGCTTCGACTTTCAATTCTATGTGTTTTATTCTCTGTTTATACTGTTGGAAATCCTCTCGTGACACTTAGATTTTCTTTTTTAAAAAGAACATGGTTCAGTCAATTTCAAAATGCCAATCTTGTGTTCGAGTTTCACACTTTAAAGAAACAGACATAAACACTCCGCGGTCCCCTATGTCGGCAGCTAAACTGTCAAGAGAGCACAGAAGGGCAGAGCGCCCTTCGGGGCAGCTTTGTTGAGACACGCATGACACAAACATGGACACACAAGCCAATGTTTTGCGAAAAGGAGGGTCCTGACTCACAGTCACCAGCCACATACACTCCAAGGAATAGTTTCCTTCTAAAAATTTCCAGGCTGCCAACCTCTGAGATCTTTCCTTTCCGAAGTAAAATCACAGAAGTCCGTTTCCAAGAGGGCTTACCTGGTAATCTGTGTTCTTGTACTGAAGTCCAGAGACCTCATTGAGCGAAGAACTTCAATGCACCCCAAGTACTGCAAGGGCAAAAAAATAAATCATGAGCCTTGAGAACCACGACACAGACAATTCCTAACTACAACAAGGACATTTGGGGAAGCCATGCACATTTCTTAACTCGAATTTTAACTCTACATTCCACAACGAGGCTTCGTTCTGTTTCTACAAAAGCTATATCTCATAGCCATTAGGAAATATCCTGAGAGGCTAGACTGTCCCTACACTGAACCTTTCTAAAAATCGTTTGTACTTAGATGTAAATTTTACAAATTTTTACTGCAGTACATACTGAACAATGCAGAAATCTTAATCGCTTAACTCAATTACTGTTAAAACACATATTTGCCATTAAACCACCACCCAGGCCACAACAGCACATTTCTAGTTCTCGCCGAGGTTCACAATTTTTAAAGAAAGAATGAAAACACGACCAACACGTTCATCAACTTGAAACTTCATTTTCTAGCAAATATGTTTGGGGTTCTATAAATAAATTACAGATTACTTCGGTTTACCAGAAAGTCCTCTTTTTCATTATTGAAGATGAGTTTTCAGAAGTTCAAACTTATACATCTAAATGGGTAGCTAAATTTTGATCAGTTTCACACACGAAAACGTGTATGAGTATGTGAATATACGGACATATCTAAAGTTATGAATAAAGAACTACACATAACATTTATGTCCTAAAGCCCTTGGACAGTTTGAAGTGCATGTGCTTCAGACAAATGCCTCTAAATTTAGATTTAGCAGGAAGAGACCTCATGGTATGGTGCAGAAGGGACTGCATTTGAATTATTTTAAAAACTTGAATTTTGCCGGGCATGGTGGCACACACATATAATCCCAGCACTTTGGGAGGCTGAGGCAAGAGGATTGCTTGGACCCAGGAGTTTGAGACCAGCATAGCAAAAATTCAAAAACTTAGCCAGACAAGATAGCATGTGCCTGTAGTCCCAGCTACTCGGGAAGCAGAGGCAGAAGGATCACTTGAACCCAAGAGGCCAAGGCTATGGTAAGCCGTGATCGTGCCACTATACTCCAGCCTGGACAACAGACTGAACCCCCAACTGAAAAAACAGAAAATAAAGAAGGAAAAGAAAACCTGAATTCGAGTCTGGCTCTGTCATACCTTGCTATGTAACTTTTAAGCAAAACTTTGAACTTCTTTGAGCCCAGGTCTTAACACCCATAAATGTGATTACCATCCCCACCGTAGCACTACCACCAGTCTTACCACTGTGACCAGGACATGTGAAGACCATAACCAAATCTGCAGAGTTATGTTAGGCGTTTACCACATCTAACACCATTACAGGGTTGTATGACTACTACCACAACCATCATCGTGGCGTGACTTGAATGCCTCCACCACTGTGGCAGTGTTAAGAGACTACCGCTACCGAGGCAGTTACTGGGACAGCACCATCGCCGTCACAAAACTCCTTGGCCAATGTCACAGAGACATAGGACTCGGACTATCATCAGCACTGCAAGCCTTGCTGTGTGATTATAACAGCCAACACCACAGATTCACGTGTATAGTAGGACCATATAAGAGTTATGGGACACTGCCATCAAAGTCACAGTTATTCAAACACAACATCCAACATCCAAAGTTATGTGAAAACCATTCCAGTGTCACAGTTATATGAATACCACACTGACCGCACAGAGTCCTTGAATACCATGAACACCAGCGTCCTAGAGTTATGGGAGTCCCGCTACCACCACCACCACCATGGTGTTCCAGAATTATGAGAATGATGAACCTACCACAAGAAAACGATGTGACATGAACACCACCCCCAGCATTGTGGAATTATGCAAATATCATGACCATGTCATAGAGTTGTGTGAAAACTGTGAATGGCAATGAAGAGTTATGTGACTACCACTGCCACCGTTAGAGTTGTATGAATACCTGCCCCACCATGGTGTATATGGCTGGCCCTCCACATCTGCAGGTTCCACATCCACAGATTCAACTAACTGTTGATCAAAATATTCAAAGAAACCCAATAAAAAGAACAATATAGCAATACAAATAAAAAACAAAACAGCATGACAACTATCTATACTGTATTTATTTTGTATTAGATATGTAATCTAGAGATGATTTAAAGTATACAGGAGGGTATGCATAGATTACAAGCAAATACTAGGCATTTTCCATAAAGGACTTGCACATCTGTGGATTTTGGTGTCCTTGAGGTCCCTGGAACTACTCCTCTGTGGTATCCAAGGGATGATTCTATTTATATGAATAATGTGACTATCACACACCATCACAGAGTTGTGTGAAAACCAGACCAATGTTGCAGAGTTGTAGGAACAGCCATCCCTCCATGGGTGCCTATTGATGTCAATAACATATGTCAAAGTCACAGAGGTATATGAATACTACCACCATTGTTGTAGAGTCATGGCCAGCACTGCAGTTGCAAGAATACTGCCACTCGCAACATGGCAGATTTGTGTGAATATATCAACACCACTTTTGCAAAGTTATGTGAATACTCCCACCACTGATGTCTCGGCATTGTGCAAATGCTCCGTTTGATGTGACCGAGTACTGTGAATAAACAACCAATGACGCCGTTCTGGAAACACCCCAACCAGCCCTGTCGCAGGGCTATGTGAATGCCACCACCCCCAGATCACAGCTAATTGCTAGTTATATAATTAGGGTGATGCGGGGGTGTTCCCGCAGGTGTTAATTCTCCCGGAGACCCTCCCTGTCACTCTGCCTAGCCAGCGTCTGTCTTCCTCCCCTCTCACCACTACCAACTTTGTAGGGTTATTAGAACGGCACAGCCAACGCTGCAGTTATGGGAACACGACCATGACTAACATCACAGAACAGTATGACTACCACCATGGACAGCTCCACAGAGATATGTGAAGACTGCCAACAACAATAACAAAACGTTATGTAAATCCCATAACCAACACAGCAGAGTTATGCCCAAAATACATTCAGTGACAGACAGTTATATTAACCACCACAGCCAATGTCACAAAATCGTGTGACTACCATGGCAGACACCACAGGTTTATGAGAATACCACGGTCACTGATGGAGAGTTATGCAAATACCACTATCAATAACATTGCAGTGCTTGGTGAATTCCACCTCCAGCACTGACACAAAATTATGTTGACACCCTGATGAGTCTGTCAGTGAAATGAATACCACAGCGATCATCTCAGGGTTACCTGCATACCATGATGAACTCAACAGTGTACTCTGTCCTACCACTGCCAACATCAGAGTCTTGTGAACACCAGGACCGCTGTCGAGAGGTTATATGAACAGCCTGAGTCATGTCACTGAGTTATGTGACCACTGCCAAGAACATTGTAATGTCAAGTAAACACCACCGGCGATCTCACAGATTTGCATGAACACAACCTTCACTGTGGAGGTTACAGAAACAGAAACACCACCATCGTCAGAGAATTATGTGGGGATACCAAGACGAATGTCACAGCGTTATGTGAATACCGCCACAAACACTGCAGAAACACCGCCACCACCAATGTCAGTGCTGGGTAACTACCACAGTCAATGCCACAGAGTTATGTGACCCACACCAGCAAAACATGCCAGGACCATCACCAACTTCGCAAAATCGTGTGACTCCTGTGATGGCTGTCATAGAGCTGTGTGCCTCCCACAACAAGCTTCATAGTTATGTGAAACCACAACCGCGAGCGGAGAATTTGTGAACACCCACAACGCCACCATGTGATGGGAACAGCCCCACGGCAGGTTCCACAATCACGTCAACACCACAACAAACGTTGCTGAGTCATGTGAACGCCAGGACAAACTTCACAGAGTAGGCGGCCACCATCATGGTATTATGACAACACACCACCACCCACATTGTAGCTACGTGAAGACAACCACTGCTGCCACCACAGCATTATGGGAAAACCACACTGGCATCACAGTCATGTGAACACCATAAGCAATGACATAAGATGATGTCCATACCAATACCCGCACTCATAGTCGTATGAATGCTATCACCTCCAATCAACAACTATGTGGCTATCATGAATATATCATGAGTTCTGTGAATGCCCCAATATCACAGTTAGGTGAAAGCCTCCATCAGTGTCACCAGGTGAAACAAATACCAGGAGCAACCTTGCAGAATTACATGGATACCATGGCAAGATCATAGTTGTATAACTCTCACCAACACCATGACCAAGTACTGCTTGAACTACAGCTACCACCACAGAACTATGCGAGTAACATCGTGCCCAGGCCACAAGAGATAAGATAGACAAGTGGGACCTCATCAAACTGACAAGCTTCTGCCAAGCAAAGGAAACCATCAAGAGAGCGGGGAGACAGAGCCCACAGAATGGGAAAAAATATCTGCCAACTGTACATCTGACAAAGGCCTAACATCTAGAATCTACAGGGAACTCAAATGTGCTGAAAGGAAAAAAACAAACAGCCCCGTTAAAAAAGTGGGCAAAAGACATGAACAGACACTTCTCAAAAGAAGATATACGGGCAGCCAACAGACACATGAAAAGGTGCTCAGCCTCACTCATCATCAGAGAAATGCAAGTCAAAACCACATTGAGATACCACCTAACCCCAGCAAGAATAGCCATCATTAATAAAACAAACAATAACAGGTGCTGGCAAAGGATTTGGAGAAAAAGGAACGCTTCTACACAGCTGGTGGGAATGCAAACTAGTGCAACCTCTTTGAAAGACAGTGTGGCGATTTCTGAAAGAGCTAGAAATTGACCTCCCATATGACCCAGCAATCCCCCATGGGTAATATACCTGGAGGAACTCCAGTAATTCTACCAAAAAAGATACCCGCACATGTATGTTTATTGCAGCTCTATTCACAAGAGCAAAAACATGGAACTAACCATGCTGTCCAACAAAGCTGAACTGGATTTTTAAAAAAGCGTTACATATACACAATGGAATATCATGCAGCCACAAAGAAGGACAAACGTATGGACTCCGCAGCAA